GATATTAGCGGCGACTAAGGCTTCACACAAGTCTACGTAGAATGCGTTCTTCTTTCCATTCATGAGGTTTCCTCTCAAAAATGAATGCTTAGACGTTGAGCGCACGTTGCGTTCTGCGTTGGCTTGGTGTCCTGCTGTTTTCTTGTGTTGTGTCAGGTGGCAATTCATCTCGCATAAAATCTACAGAAAAATAACATTACGATATGTTGAAAAGCGTAATGCGCCTTCCTGAGCGAGGGTGGCTTTAAGCAATATCTTTCTAGTACCTCTAAATACACCTACACATAACATGTATCTCTTTTGCAGCGGTAAAAAGACCACTCATTGCGGAGCTTGTCCAGGTTTTAGTTTAGCATTAGAGAAGACAGCTGCCATATTCTTCGTTGCCGAAGCTCAGTCTTGCGAAACTATCCGCCACTTAGGTAACAGGGCGCAGGGCTGTTAATTGGGTGAACATCAACTCGTGCCCAAATTGGGTGTGTGCTGGTTATGGGGGGCATCGTGAGATACTGCTCGTTATTCATATCTCTAGAAATGGTTACCCGATTATGTAGCGCAATATAAGGGGTATTTCTGTTACCTCGCCCCCCGCGTTAGTTTCAACTGTACACGCCCAACCGAAGCATGACGGGAGGCAACAAGCACGTATTGAAGATAAGTAATCCGATAGAAAGACACTGTGCGTTTTGTCTTGTTGCTGAGTATAGTTATTTATGAATAAAAATTTCGATTGGCGTCAAAAAGTTTGTTTGACTCTTTTTGGTGCTCCTTCTCCGGGACGTGACAGAAATAATATTTTCCCGAGTCCCCTTGCGAACGGTCCGGTAATGGCTGATAACTTCGAATATTGTTTCTTACTGCATGGTCTTTGAATACCGTGCGCACAGTTCAATTCGTGCGATCCTATTCTCACGGGAACAAGGTCGCTTTTCTGACTGTGACGTCACGGAGACGACACAGTAACCAATCAGCACGCTGCAACTATACAGCAACTGTTGTGCTCGTTCTCGGGGCTAATATATTTCGAGAAACATTTTGCTTGACTGGTATCTGTCAAATAAAAAAATACTTTGTGTTTTTGGAGGGTCATGTCAGGATTCAGGAAACTGCTGTGCCTGTCTCGGTCGCGAGGCGAGGGGAGACACAGTTTTGTAAAGGCTTATGGGACTTCGGGCAGGAAATGCGTTACCAAGTGACAGACGAGTAAACCTTTCATTAAATAAATCCATCTACATCAACTCTCTAATAAAGATGTGGGTGTTTTTGTTCTTGGTCCATAATATATGTGTGAATGACGTTTTAGTGATTAGAAAATATCTTTAGTGGACGAACGTTTTTGCGATCGCCGTTTTAGCGAATAATCTGTTTTTCGGCGATGACGAGCTAGGCTTTTAAACTGGCGCGGTTACCCCTCGCTGTCGATCAGGGGAAACGAAGCTGTCATTTTCTACAGCGTCATTTGATGAAACGTCGTGGTTTCGTTTTCATTCGCTAAATCGTCGTTCAATCACGTTTTGGTTTTTCTCCAAAACAAAGTACCTAAGGGTGTCTACTTACCTACATTCCACATGATCAACAAAAAACCATATGTCTCTTGGTCCAGTAGCAAAGGGAATGTTGGGTCCATTACCAAATCAGCACGCTCTTTGGGACCTTCTTTTCTGGCATCGTTGACAAGCTACAGGCAGTGAAAGCGAAGAGCAGCAAACCACAGACCACCGGACACAATAACGTCAGAGACCGACGCGCATGCGAAAAGAGCGAACCCACGGCTATTTATTTCGTTCACCTCACATGTAGGCTGGCACGGACGCACACACACACACACGCACACAGACACACGCGCTTGCTCAATAGAACGAAAACCTTTTCGGTTGGCTTACGCTCCGTTTTCCGATCTTCCAATGAACCGCAGCGAATAGGACGAGCTATCTCAACCAATCCAGTACAACTCCAGTTGGGCGGAGCGACACGCGGAGACACCAGGTCACATGCCACTCTCCCAGCGCTGAACTCGCTGGGACGCTCCCAGCATCCCCTAAGCTCCATTCAGGGTGAAACGGAGTACAGCAGCATTTAGATTGAGACGCCTACAGGCAGCTCCCGGGCTCCACACTGTCTAGGTATTTAAGACAACAAACCCGCTTCACTCGGGCGACAGCGGGAGAAAGCAAAGGCAAGAAATAGAAAGAAGAACGATGCGTGGGGAGGGAGGGAAAGGCCTTCTAATAGAAGGAAGCGCCGTTTGCACCTTGGCTTACAGGCGTGATGAAAAAAATTAGACCTTTACAGCTTGCTGTAACGCCGATTTCGAGCGCAGCTCTTGAGGAGGAGGAAAGGAGAGTACTGAGAGGAAGGTATGCCCCTCGTCCTCATCCGTACCGTCTTCTCCTCCCCTCGTCCTTCTTTCACGCGCGAAACGCGCGTTGTCACGCGACGTTTCGGCGTGGTGCCGAAACGTCACCTTGGCGAAACGTCACCACGGTGCATTATGGGAAACGTTCCCTAATGCACCGCGGTGACGTTTCGGCACGGTAACATTTCGGCACCGTGCCGAAACGTCCGCGCGGTGAATTATGAGGAAACGTCCCATAATGCACCGCGGCAAAGTTTCGGCATGGCGACGTTTCGGTACCGTGCTGGTATCCGCTCATTCACACTGGAAGCGGATCCGCGTTCGCAAAGCGGTTGCGAACGCGGATCCACTTCCAGTGTGAGTGAGCGGTTACGCAGACGCCGACGGCGGCGGCGCCGCTCAAGACGGAAACGGGCGCCTAATGGCGCATTCACACTGGAAGCGGATCCGCGTTCGCGAAGCGGTCGCAGATGCGGTTCGCGAGCGACCCCGTTCAGACACACCGAGAGCCGGTTGGCGGTTTCTCGGCGATCACGCGTGATCTTTTGAGACTTGCGTTTGGCAACCCTGTTTTACAATCCAAAATCCAATTTAATTCAAGATCCAAAGCCAAAGTTTTGCTATTTTGGCACTCGGAATATTTTTCTCCGGGATGTTCGCGCGCATCCCGAGTTCAGGCAGCGAAAAAAAAGCATGGACCCGCCAAACTCGCCTGTAATTCCCTCGACTTCGCCCGCAAGCAAAGCCCAGCTAGGCGCGCCTTGCTGACTCAGAACAGGATGCCCCCGACCTTTTCTTCGAAGTGGACTCTTCCCGCGTGAATAGCTGGCCTTGTTTTCGGGACAGAGGGCCAGTTCTTCACTCTCGTTGTTGTTCGCTCTTATCATTTTCAAAGTTGTGAGCGGTGGGGTGGACCATGGTGCGGGGGAATGTGTTCGGCGCTAGCCGGTCGTGGCTTCGTTAGTGGTGGACTCTCCCCTCGTCAATCGCTCGTCGATCGAGTCTAGTGTTTGTTTGACATTAAGGTCAAATAAACGCCGTATGGATTACCTCTGCATTGTCTGGTACGTACACTTTATTCCTTGAGTAGGTTCCCTTTATTTTATTAGTAGTAAACGCTACAGGTCGAGCTAGCACAGGTACACCTGCCCCTTCCGCGGTAGTGCGTTGGCTACGCAATCAAACTCATGACGTCTCTATCGGCCTTCGTGGTGGTCATGCACGGTGTCGAAAACTTTCAATAGTTCACTACCCTAGTGGGTAGAAAAGCTGACATTTCGGTCGATCAGGGGCGGTTTCTGACGTTCTACAGGCAGAGATTAACAAGGCAGCGAGCTTGGGCTGTGGCACCCGGAATAATCAACAAACTCTTACCCGAACCAAATCACCGGTGCGAAACCGTTAAAATTACCGAGTCAATTATTTTCGCGGCTGATTCAAGTGACGGACGTGAAAATCAAGTTTCTCCGTTGATTTGTCGAAAGCTAAGACTACAGCGCTAGGACTACAGCGCCTTGGATGCCTTACCAGCGACAGGTGCCATCTTGTTTTCGAAAGTCTCTGACGTCACGTCAGCGTCGCGTTGTGATTGGTTGCCGCTTTGCGGTTCGTGAAAGCGTTTGGGAGAAATCGGTCCCGAAGCGGTTGGCAAAAACGCGCTCCAACCGCTCGATCCTAGCCGCTTTGCGGTTGAGAACGCGCTGATCCGCTTCGCGAACGCGGATCCGCTTCCAGTGTGAATGCGCCATAAGAGCTACGCTCTAAAAACAACGATGTTTGTGGTAGATCTCGGGACAGAGATTGGAGCAGCCGGTTTTCATGCATCGCAAGAAGATGAAAAATAGTTCGCTTGAAATAGAAAATAAACAGAACAAGTCATTTTGGGGTAGCGAAGCAAAAAAAGTAAAAAAATAGTCATTTATAGGCAGGAAACGGTAATTTAGGCTGAAACGCCGAGATAGGCCTTTATAGGCACTAAAACCACTCTTAAAACGCTTCTTAGCTCCAATATAAACAGGCACAATAGGGACCAAAGGAACAAACTAGGCATTTGCCTAAAGATCAGGCCTCTTGTCATGAGGATTAAAGGTCGCCACATGTCTCCAATGACTTTACTTTGAAAAGTAATAAAATATTTGGCAGAATTTTCGGCGGAGGCAGGATTTGAGCCCATGACCCTTCGATTGCAAGTCAGGCAGGGTAGCGACAAGGCCACATGGATACTTTTTTTTTTCCTTTATTGAAAGGCCACACAGACGCTTGCACGGCTTGGGAAAGATGGGCAGTTCCTATGTTTAGTTCTTGTGTTCCACTCTTAAAGGCGAAGCTTAAGAGTCTTCCTGTAATTTCCGTCTTGTGTTAGACTATTTCTCGGACACTTCACCCATCCCTTTAAGTCGAATTGCAAATAACAAAAACAACAAGAACAAAAAAACGCCGTTCCTCCTGCCGTTCTTTCGAAAGCGTAAGGAGTTCTTGTTCCAGTTCCACCGATGCAAACTGGAAAGGCGGCGTTTTTCCGTTCCTCCTAAAACGGAACTCGTTCGAGGAACGTCGTTCGTTCGAACGCTGTGCAGTACAGAAACCACACTATCTACAAGACCTCACGTAAGAGAGAAGACCCACCTAAAAACCCCCACTCAGGTTCCGTTTCAGGGGTTTATTGAATAAGATATAAACATCGTTTTACAAATAAGTCGCAAACTTTTCAGACTAATACGCCCCATGTTCGTCAGCTCTTGTCGCACCCTCGAGATACGCTCACGTGCCTTTGTTTCCCCCGGCCTCAGCTAACGACGGCGCGCGCTTTGCTGCCTCGTCACTGCGCATTCCATGCGCGTTCTCGTGTGCTGCCCCTTTGCTTGGTTTGCCTCTCCTTACGCTCCGACGAGCCAAAGAAGCACTTTCGAACACTTAACAACCGTAAATCTTGAAAATAAGCACAGAGATCTACGCAAGCGATTATATTGTATACACCCTCTTTACACGGCCATCGCAACCTTGATTGACATTAGAAGGTTTTCCCTATTTCACGCTCCCCCCCCCCCTCCACCCCAGGCACGCACACACACACACTCCCTGCTATGCCTCCTTTACGCGCCACATAAATGGTATACCCAGCCTCACCGTTAGTTGGCAACGGAGAAGACTACGGTTCCAGTGAGCCACTCAGCGCGTCGGCGGGAGGCACGTCACTATACTCTATCTCACCAGTGGCTCACATTTCTGTCGAAGCCACGGGCACGAGGAAGAGAAAGGCCCCCTTTTTTACAAATTTTATGCGACGAGCTAATTTTTGAGGTTCACAAAAGCAAGTTTTGACGCACGTAGGAATGTCCAGGATATAGAGAAGTTCCTAATTACCCTATTTTCTAAATGCCTTTGCTTCTGTATTTTTGGTAAGAGTTGTCACACGCTTCTTCTCCGAGGCCCTGATTGGCTCGAGAAGGCCCCAGCCTTCGCCTTTTGCCAAGTTACGGCAAAACGAACTATAGCTGAAGCTGCTGAAGCAGAGCATATACATAACAAAACTACAAGACAACCTATGTCTAATCGGGCGTACACGTAGCCCCGATCAGTTTGTGCCTGCAATAGCAAAGCCGTACACATGGGGACTGAGTGCCATAGGTATCGGCAAGAACTCCTCATTCAGCTCCACCTGTTCAAAACCGGCATTCTTCAAGGTGAGTCCAGTCTTCCTGGTCACGTGACATCCACAGAAAGTGAAAGTCCACAGCGGGTCGAGAAGCCTTTGCAGGACCAAGCCCCAGCTTCCTTCCGGATGGGCCACGTGCTCGACGAACATCAACCTGCCGCCCTAGGAAGGTTAAAATGCTTGACTTTACATATGTACGTACACTCTAACAGATTAAAAAATAGTCTGTTCCAGAGACTTGCACACATAGCTACACCCTTCCAGAACCCTTTTCAGTAATACATCAGTTTGAATTGTAGAGTACTGTTGAATGGAAACTTTTCCAATACTTAAGGAAGTATGAAGGGCGTGCAAAAGAGGGATAGGGTTAAGTCTGGCAAACCTTATTGAAGGGCAAGAAGAGTGGCTGTTTGGGCTATTTGGTTGGTCATTTCATAAAACCTGTGTGTGCACAGCAGAAACGACGACGAAGGGAGGACAAAACGAGGCGCATCGGTGCGCCTCGTTTGCGTCCCTTTCTCCCTTCGTTGTCCTCGTTGCTGCGGAAGTACAACTTTTATGTTCTGAAGGTTGTTTGCCATTCGAAAAAGGGTTTTGCGAAGGATACATCTGACAAAACACAGCCTGCAGAAACTGTCTTAGGTGAGTTTCTTCGGCGATTCTGTCACATTTGTCGCGCGCAAAGCATCTGTGCACTCATGTTCAAAACACACTTATTTATAGAGAAAACATGTTTCGAACACGCTTGAGGTGCGTCTGTGGAAAATGTTTGTCTTTCATTATGTCTGCAGATAACACCTCGTATTTCGTCTGAGGCGCGCGCGGTTCTGCGTCTTTAAGTCCCAGCAACACTGTTCATATTTTGCGTCGTTGTCAGTCTTGCTCCAGTGAATAGCGGAGCTCGGACAGTTTTCAAGAAAGGCTTCTCGGTCAGCGAAAGGTGAAAATTTAAAAGACTCCGACATTGAGCGTAGTGAACGCAGCGCAGCGCAGAGCGCGCGCCTTTCATTGGCCGGCAACCAGGAAGTGATATCTGCGACCAATTAGTATCTGTGCGCGCTGCGCTACGCCGCGCCCGTCGACTTTACGTTGGAGTATAAACGTAACTTAACACGGCTGGCAGCGTCAGCAATCCTAACTCGATTTAACGTCGGATTGCAAAATAGGACATCTTCAACAACGACGATTCAGAACATGTAGCTAATGAACAGGTCTCCGCGGTCGAAGGGAATAAATAGAACCCCAATGCAGTACTTGCCCGCAAGCCCCGGAACGTGTCGTCGCAACACGCAAGGTAAAAGAGCCAATCACCAAAGAAAACAGCTTGACATTAAAGACATCTGAGACTAAGCAGGAATTAAAATAAAGGTAAAATTTCCACAATTGAGGTGACACACACTTTTGATGGATCTGCTTTTGCAGATCCCAGAAGCAGGAAAAAGCGATTTTAAAGCGATAAGACGACTGAAACTGCTTTTCTGCGCTTGCTGATAAACTAAGACATCACAAACAACACAATCTTATAAAGTACAGATATGCCGGTGAATCAGCGGATACGGGGGCGTCCCAAACGATAATCTACGATGATGTACGCGCAGCCCTATGTAGCCCCGGAGCCGAAAAGTGATTACTACAAGTAGCATGAGGGTAGCACCACTTCCGGAATGCGAAAGCCTGCGCAATTTACTTGGTGACGTCGGTCTATTGATTGTCGGTACTCGTAAGAAAGTCCAAGCGTTGAATTTCATCGAGGGACCTTAGGTCGTAAGCAGTTGCAAGTGTTTGAATAAGACTAAAAGAAGAAATGCAGGAGGATCATGTAGCATGCACAGCGCGTGATTGGGTTAACCAATCATGGAAGACGCAGAAGGATTCCGAGCGCCATAGCGATAAACGTTTGTCGCTGTTCGATTGACTTTATCGACTTGCAGCGTTGTCTACGGTTGGATTCAAATCTGAAGCAGAACATAGACGACGAACGGATGAAATAAGGCCACAGCCACACACTCACACACCTTCGACAGCACCCTTTTGCACTCGGTCAGGACCTTTCCCACATCGGACACGGAGCAAAGCACGTAGCTGACCAGCACGACGTCGAAGTGACCGTCGGGAACCCCTCGCATGTCCTCGGCATAGGCGTGAATCCACCGCTCCATTTCCACGTTCGGGTTCTTCTTCAGGTTTCCCCGGAAACCTTCGGCGTACTCCGCGTTGGGGTCCAAGTTCCAGTACTTCACCTTCCGCTTCATGTGCTCCAAGTTGGCGCCGAAGCCGGCACCGATCTCCAAGACCCTGATGGAGCCCTCCTTCTTGAGCGTGTCGTCGTGGGACACGAGGTCGTTTAGCTGGGAAAACGCTTGCCGACGAACCCCGATCATTCGGTCTCTCAGCAGGTACATCCCCACGGGAAAGGCGAACCGCGCGAAGAAGATTTCGCGGAGTCTGTTATTCAGTTTGAACGGCACCCAAAAGAGAAGTCCACAGGCCATGGTTGCGTAAATAAAACAGTCCCCACCGAGGCAGCCCAGCCTGCCCATCTTGAGCCCGCTCCGAAGCGTGCAGCTTTCTCCGGCAGTTCCTCGTCGACGTCTCTCGGCGCGCATGCCAGCGTTATCGTTAAATGCACGAGAAGACGCCGTTATCGGGGATAAAGCAATTAGTGTTTGAAGTATTTTCAAAAACAAGCTAATCTAGTAACGCTGGGACACGGTACCAAGCAGCGCTTTCGTTGACTACGACATCCAGCGCCGATAAGCGGTTTGCTGCCTGCTCAGCGGCGGCAGAAAAATAACTCATTCCCAGACTGCCTTGCGCACCGACGCCCCCGACGGGTCTCCCTTTTTGGAGGTTGATTAAAGAACAGAAATTTGGGGCTGTGCTTGTCATTTGACATCATTTCTGCCGTCGAGCTGGCTAAGTCACGCGACGATACACAAATGGCTGCGCTCTAGTAACCGTGGAACCTAGAAGAGGTGGAAGCGGATTTGGCCATTGTTGGACCGTTGGACGAACTGAGAGTACTGGGGCCCTAGTCTAGACACTTGGCGAGGAAGTTGGCGAGGAGTCTGGCGGCCGTGATCGGAAAACGCCGCACTTGACCTTGGCGTCGGCCAATCATAGCCGCCACATTTCTCGCCGACTTTTTCGCCGAGGGTCCAGATTAGGGCCTTTGCTGTCAATGACCAAAGGAAGTGGGAGGAAGCCGCTACTTGGAAAGTACGGTGACGTTCGTGAGCGCCGTTGTACCATGAAGGCCCGCGGCACCACGAACCTTTGTGGTATGGGCTGTTGCCTTTCAGCGGCGCCGCTGCCCTCCAGAGCAAAATTTAGATTTATTAGTATTAATATTATTATTAGTTAGACGAGCACGTACTTGTGCCCCATTTTACGAAAGTTCGCGCTCCAGAGCTCCAGGCACGCGGTTGCACTGCATTGGCCAGATTTCCCATCTGCAGCCGAGACAACTACGCGCTCGAGTGCTCAGGCGGACGAATTCAGACCAGGAACAAGGCAGGCAGAAAGGCGCAACACAGAGCCAGTTTCATTAGGTGACCTTAGCTTGACGTCACTCGTCTACGTCACCAAATCGGCCTCGCAGATCCAGTTCGGCCGTGCTTCGACAGAGTCAGGCTTGTAGATGCGTGCAAACCAAAATCAATTTTCGACGCGCCCTCCTCGTTTTTGTTTCGTTTTCTTTTTGCCGAAATTGGATGTCAGATCCGACAACCGATTCAGGTTTGCACAGACCTTTACGGGGTCAATTGCTCGTATTGAATCAAGAGTCGTCGCGCACCATTCCAAACACAAGGTCTGTGTTCCAAAACTTACCCAAATAGATCAGAGTTACTTAGACGGGTCATGTCAATTGACAACACGGATAGAAGAAAGTTGAACTCGGGTAGGCTTTCTAAGGTCAAGGTATAAGACCCTTGCCCCTGGAGTAAGATCGAGTAAATTTTGGAACACGGCTAAGGGAAGCTTAGGAGAAACGGAAGCATTTCTCTCCCCATGACATGGCGACTGTAGGAAACGCGCACACCTTGACACGGACCAATGTTACTAGATGACTTCAGTGTAGGGACTCCCGCCGAGAGGGGGGAGGGGGGGGTACCCCCCTCACGCCGCTTTTCGTCGTTCGAAGCGCCATCTTGACTTTTGTTTCAAAACTGTGCATTCCACAGAGTATGGTTGAACGCCACCAAGACGCTGTGTTTCGAAACGTACGTATTTCACAGAATACGGTGCAGTTCCCAAAGCAGTCGTCCAGCACGTCCAACAACGGGACGCAAACCGTGGTGAGAGGAGGGGTACTACTCATACAAGCAGCTTCTCTGAGGACTTCCGTAACTGAGCTAATCTAATAACGTTGACACGGGCTGAATATCCCTTGCAGTCGGGTATTATTTGCAGGCTTTTAAAGGACAGCGTGAATCTCCGCGAAGTTTCGCGCGTTGTGTGCTTCAATTGCTAGCTTGTTGTGTCATGCGCGTACAGTGTCTACGAATATGTTGTTGTGTTGCTTAGTTGACTGCACAGTTTTGATTTGGCAGATCTCCGCGATATAAATGAAACCACGGGCCGCAGCCGTCGAGTGTCGCCAGTCGCTTTTACGCGCGCGTCGATTTCACCCGTGCATTGGGAATAACTGCAATTATTTTAAATCAAGGATCCACCCATTTAACGTTTCCGGAAAGCCGACTAGCAATAAATATTAATTTGAAGATATAATTATTACTTGCCACTTTCGTAGATTCGAATGTCGAAAAGTATAAATGAACGCTTTATACTTTAGTTGGGTGCCATGCCTGAAGAAATGCCTGCTCAACTTTTAAATGCAGGGTTTTAAACGAGCGAGGTTTTCATACAGCTTGGTACTGGATAAGATATTTAATAATAATAAATATATTGTTGCTATTAATATTCAACATTCTCAAACTTTTGCTTATTTTTTTTTTATTCCTCAGTCTCGCTTTCACTATAGATTTCGTTCACTTACGTTAATATTCGAGTACTTGCGCGTTGGTAAGCGGAAGGTTTATGTGAAAGTTTTTAACAAACACCGTCCAAAAAACACACAAGCTAACTAAAAAGAAGCGTAAATTTTTTGGACCTTATACGTGTCAGGTGGTAGGAGAGAAGTGTGAATTGTGACCTTCTGACGTAGAACGGAATCTGGTGATTCATAAGGCGAAATTTTGCCTACAATATCCTAAAATAAAAAAAAAATTCTTTACAGAACGCAATAAAGGTTTTATGGCACATTTGAAGCAAAACATAAAGCATAGCAAAAAAGTGAAAGCTGCTTACAACTCCCTGTAACGCCGAATTAGAGCGCAGCTCTTGAGGAGCAGGAGGGAAGGGCACTGGGGGGGGGGGGTTAAACTAAGCAGGGGGGGGTCACGTGACCCCCAATGCCGATTATGTCATCACTGACGTCATCAGTGACGATGACGATGCGGGTACCGATGACGTCATTAGTGACGTCACTGAAGACTTCACCAGTGATGATGACGATCCGAATGTCGGTGACGTCATCAGTGACGTCGCTGATGACGTCATCAGTGATGATTACGATGACGATGCGGATGTCGGTAACGTCATCAGCGATAATGACGATGACGATGCGGATGCCGGTGACGTCATCAGTGATGATGACGATGACGATGCGGATGCCGGTGACGTCATCAGTGACGATGACGATGTGGATGCCGGTGACGACATCAGTGACGTCACTGATGACGTCATCAGTGATGATGACGATGACGATGCGGATGTCGGTAACGTCATCAGTGATGATGACGATGACGATGCGGGTGCCTGTGACGTCATCAGTGATGATGACGATGGCGATGTGGATGCCGGTGACGTCATCAGTGATGATGACGATGTGGATGTCGGTGACGTCATCAGTGACGTCATTGGGGGTCACGCGACATCGGCGGGGGTCACGTGACCTAAGGGGGGTCACGTGCCCCCCACGAGGTCACGTGGCCCCGGTGGGGGGGCTCGCGCGGTGCATTATGGGATATTTCCCATGATGCACCGGGGTCACGTGACCTCGGGGGGGGTCACCCCCCCGAGGTCACGTGACCCCGGTGGGGGGCTCGCGCGGTGCATTATGGGACATTTCCCATGATGCACCGGGGTCACGTGATCTTGGGGGGGTCACGTGCCCCCCACGAGGTCACGTGACCCCGGTGGGGGACTCGCGCGGTGCATTATGGGACATTTCCCATGATGCACCGCGCGGTTACGCCGACGCCGACGCCGACGCCGACGGCGACGCCGCTCAAGCCGGAAACGGGCCCCTAAGAGCTGCGCTCTAAAAAAAAAGTGAATGCCGTTTACAACTACTTCCTGTAACGCCGATTTTGAGCGCAGCACTTGAGGAGGAGGAGAAAAGGGTACTGGGGGGGGGGGTGGTCACGTGACGATCCCGATGACGTCATCAGTGACGATAACGATGCGGATACCGATGACGTCATTAATGATGACGACGATGCGGATGCCGGTGACGCCATAAGTGACGTCACTGATGACGTCATCAGCGATGATGACGATGCGGATGCCGGTGACGTCATTAGTGACGATGACGTCATTGCATCGTCATCAGTGATGATGGCGATGACGATACGGATAACGGTGACGTCATCAGTGACGATGACGTCATCGGGGGTCACGTGACCTCGGGGTGGTCATGGGACCTCGGGGGGTCACGTGACTTGGGGAGTCACGTGACTTTGGGTGTCACGTGACCTCTGGGGGTCACGTGACCTTGAGATGACCTTGGGGGTCACGTGACCTTGGGGTGACCTTGGTTACGCCGACCCCGACGGCGACGCCACTCAAGCCAGGAATGGGCCCCTAAGAGCTGTGCTCTAAAAGTGAAAGCCGTTTAAAACTCCCGGTAACGCCGAATGGGAGCGCAGCTCTTGAGGAGGAGGAGGGAGGGGTACTAAGGGCCACATGTTCTCGGGGGGGGGGGGGTCATGTGACATAGGGGAAAGGGTCACGTGAACCCCCCCCCCCCGGAGGTTACGTGACCTCGGGATGGCGTCACGTGACCTGGGGGTTGTCACGTGACCTAGGAGGAGGGGTCACGTGACCTGGGGGTGTCACGTGACCTAGAAGGAGGGGTCACGTGAATCCCTAGGTCATGTGACCCCTCCACGGTCACGTAACCAAAATTTCCCCGCTATATATAGCGGGAAACCTTTTCCGCTAGATTTAGGCGGGAAATTTTTTCCACTAGATTTAGTGGGGAAATGTTTCCGCTAGATTTAGCGGGGGAATTTTTCGCTAGATTTAGCGGGGAAATTTTTTCCGCTAGATTTAGCGGGGAAATATCACCACTAGATCTAGCGGAGAAATTTTCCTCTAAATTTAGCGGGGAAATTTTTCCGCTAGATTTAGCGGGGAAATTTTTCCCCTAGACCTAGCGGGAAAATTTTTCCCCTAAATTTAGCGGAGAAATTTTTTTGCTAAATTTCGCGGGGAAACTTTTCTACTAGATTGAGCGCGGTAATTTTTCCGCTAGATTTAGCGGGGAAATTTTCCCGCTAGCTTTAGCGGGAAATTTTCCGCTAAATTTA